TATCTATCTATCTATCTCTCTCTCTCTCATCTATCTATCTATCTATCTATCTATCTATCTATCTATCTATCTATCTATCTATCTATCATCTATCTATCTATCATCTATGGGATCAATGTATGAAATGAAAACAAGATATTACCTTTTCCCGGTGATCCATGTCTTCGTGATCGCTCCTCTTCTCACTGGGGCATCCACTGTCGCCTCCGTTTTCAGAATCCTAAGGATAAAAACAGGGGACAAAAATAAGAGTTCTTCCTTCTTTGGATACCTTTATTTTATAGACGAAACTTCGTCCTTCTCCTAGAGTCCTATGCATTGCTCCAAACCCAACCCAAACTCTTTAGGGCCGAGCCTTAATGTGTGAATCCAGGAAGGTGTTCAGGAACTTACCCGCTGATTATCAAGGTTTTCGTGGTCTTTGTGAACCAAGTTGTCGACTTCATTGAAAACAGGCCAATCTAGGTCGAAGCAAAGAAGGAATTCGCTCTTTAGGCAAGGATGCCAAGGAACAGTTTTAAATCACTTTTTTAAAAAACCCTGTCGTAACTTCCAACAGTCATGAAATAATCGGTCGTAAGTCCAGGAATACCAGGGCAGCGTTTTATTAATAAATATATACAAATGTATGAACTATCCTATTCCAGGTGTAGCTATAAAAGAAGAGACAGACATCTCCAGAACTCAAAATATATTATCCATTTAGCTTTCTTTAAACCTCTTAAACCTCTGCTAACATTGTCAAAACTGTAAAAACTACCATTGAAGAGATATCGGCCTTGATACATCATTGATCAATTTGGCCATTGTGTGCGTGATAGGGGGTACTGCAGTGGTCGTAAGTGTGAAAAGTGGGTCATAAGCCACTTTTTTCAGTGTCATCGTAACTTTGAACGGTCACTAAATGAATTGCGGTAAGTCGGGGGCTACCCGTAATTATAAGGATGTCACTTTTATGAGCTGTCACTAAATGAATGCTCGCAAGTCGAGAATTATCTGTATTTTGCGTACTTCCATATACCTTATTTTAGAATAGAAAAGAGCTGGAAGGGACCTTGGAGATCTTCTAGTCCAGCCCCTTGCTCAAGCAGGAGAACCTATACCAGCGATGGTGAACCTTTTTTTGGTTCGCATGCCATAAGGGGAGGAACGCAGGGGGGGGCGTGCGTGGGCATGCCGCAGCCATAATGCAATGCACAACCCCTCCCCAGTGCACATGCGTGCATGAGAGGCACAACCCCCCCTTTTTTTGCATGTTTTTTTCGCCCTCCCCAGGCTCCAGAGGCTTTATAGGAGCCTGGGGAGGGCGAAAAAAGCCTCCCCCACCCCCCCGGAGGCTTCAGGGACCTCCGAAGAGCAAAAAAGAACACTTCCGGTTTGCTCGCAGGGCCGCTTAAGCCCTCCGGAGGCTTCAGGGAAGCCTCCTGGAGGTCCCTGAAGCCTCCAGATGGCTTAAACCCACCCTACGAGCAAACCGGAAGTGACTTCCGGTTTGCTTATAGAGTCGTTTTTAGTCCTCCGGAGGTTTCAGGGAAGCCTTCTGAAGGTCCCTGAAGCCTCCGGACGGCTTAAGCCCACCATATGAGCAAACCGGAAGTGACTTCCGGTTTGCTTATAGAGTCGTTTTTAGTCCTCCGGAGGTTTCAGGGAAGCCTTCTGAAGGTCCCTGAAGCCTCCGGACGGCTTAAACCCACCCTACGAGCAAACCGGAAGTGACTTCCGGTTTGCTTGTAGGGCCGTTTTTAGTCCTCTGGAGGCTTCAGAGAAGCCTCTTGAAAGTCCCTGAAGCCTCCGGACAGCTTAAACCCACCCTAAGAGCAAACCGGAAGTGACTTCCGGGTTGCTTGTAGAGGCGTTTTAGTCCTCCAGAGGCTTCAGGGAAGCCTCCTGAAGGTCCCTGAAGCCTCCGGAGGGCTTAAACTGACCCTACGAGCAAATCGGAAGTCCATTCCCGAACTTCAAGTTTGCCCATAGGGCTGGTTTCTTGTGCCCCAGAGGCTTCATGGAAGCTCCCGAAGCCTCCGGAGAGCCTCCAAGGGGGGGGAAGGCTCTTTTCGCCCTTCCCCAGGCTCCTTTAAAGCCTCTGGAGCCTGGGGAGGGCAAAAAATGGCTTTAAAAAAGGCTGAACTCAACTGACAGCGCAAGACCTCGCGTGCCCTGATAAATGGCTCCACGTGCCACCTGTGGCACGCATGCCATAGGTTCGCCATCCCAGCCCTATATCGTTTCAGACAAGTGGCTGTCCAGTCTCTTCTTAAAAACCTCCAGAGAGGGAGCACCCACAACTTCTGGTGGCAGGCTGTTCCCCGGTTAATTGTCCTCACTGTTAGGAAGCTTCTCCTTAATTCCGGGTTGCTTCTAGAACCAGCAGTTCCCCCCCAATGGCTGATGAAAAAAAAAAAACATCTGGGCACTTACGGAGACCCTCCATCTTATGGCTGTGAGGCGTGGCTGAAGACGGGGAGGAGGGCAGGGAGTCAAAGGCCCTATCACTCATGCTTTCATCCCCTGAGTTTTCGGAAAGGCGGGAGAGGAACGGGGGACGGGTGCCCGAGACGGTGCGCACACGGCTACTGCCACACTTCTCTTCGGTGCCCCGCACGACAGTCTGAGCTGATTCCTGCGCAGAGAAACACAAAAACCTCAGCCAGGGATTTCCCTCAGCCACCACGTCTCTGCTGGAACCGCATTATAGGCATTATTGCTGCCCGTTCAAATGGTGCAAAATTCTATCCCGTTTCAACTTAGCCATCAGTTATCGGGTCGCTTTTAAGGCCAGCCAAGCTTCGGTTCGAATAGAATAGAAATAACAAGAGTTGGAAGGGACCTTGGAGGTCTTCTAGTCCAACCCCCTGCTTAGGCAGGAAACCCTTAAAAAAAAAAAGCACTTTTGGATCACCCATGACCTAGATGTTTGAGTATCTCCACAGACGATATAATTAGTAGTTTTAAAGTTTGTAAGCCGCTCATGCATTTGATCAATAAATTAAATAAACAAATGAATAAAGATGGTTAAAATGACAAAGGTCGACCAGCTGTGTTAATACTCCATGCTGTCCAAGGTCCTGACCTTACATCTTCTAATGCAGTGTTTTTAGAATAGAATAGAATAAATAGAATAGAATAGCAGAGTTGGAAGGGACCTTGGAGGTCTTCTAGTCCAACCCCCTGCTAAGGCAGGAAACCCTACACCACTTCAGACAAATGGATATCCAACTTCTTCTTAAAAACCTCCAGTGTTGGAGCATTCACAACTTCTGGAGGCAAGTTGTTCCACTGATTCATTATTCTAACTGTCAGGAAATTTCTCCTTAGTTCTAGGTTGCTTCTCTCCTTGATTAGTTTCCACCCATTGCTTCTTGTCCTGCCCTCAGCTGCTTTGGAGAATAGCTTGACTCCCTCTTCTTTGTGGCAACCCCTGAGATATTGGAACACTGCTATCATGTCTCCCCTAGTCCTTCTTTTTCATCAAACTAGCACACACCCCAGTTCCAGCAACTGTTCTTCATATGTTTTAGTCTGCAGTCCCCTAATCCTCTTGGTTGCTCTTCTCTGCACTCCNTTTGAAGTTACAACAGCACTGAAAAAATGTGACTTATGACCATCTTGCATACTTGATCAAAATTTGGATGCTTGGCAACTGACTCATATTTATGACGGTTGCAGTGTCATGTGGTCCCCTTTTGCGTCCCTTCTACAAAGTCAACGGGGATGCCAGGTTCACTTAACAACCGTGTTACTAATTTAACAACTGCAGTGATTCAGGTAACAAAAGTGGCAAGGAAAATCGTAAGATGAGGCAAAACTCACTGAAAAAATGTCTCATAACATAAATTTTGGGCTCAATGCTGGTCGTATGTCGAGGACTAACTATATGTATAAGACTTAAGCGTATCTACTTGTTTGTTCCCAGCCATCATAGTGCAACAAGGACCTTTCAAATATAGTCCCGAAAAGATGCATGTGCTGACAGGAAAGCACTTGTACTAATAAACTTGTGTGCTTAATAAAATTATTAATAATTCTCACGTGGACATTTTCAGCCATGAAAGTGACTCTCTAATGTCATTAGTTTATAATTACACCGTCTGTATGGAGCGTACACTTTATAAATCATAAGCAGACACATTCTTGCTCCAGGGATCTTATACTCAAAAATTCAGTAAAGGGAAAACAACAGCAGAACGTGAAGAAAACATTATTGGGAATAGCAGTAAAAGTACATTTAATTGTTTCAGTTACTGACTAGACTTTTGCACAGAGCAGCTGATGCCGTTAAGCTTCTTTGAACATCCAATGTGGATTAAATAGTGAGCTGGGCTGTTTTAACACTAGAACTATTAATGGAGCACTCACTCCTAATTGACATTGGTTTCTTGTCGCTCTTAATTCTTCAAAATAATTGAATTATGCAAGACACAAGTAGAGAAGCCTCAAGCTATAGCAGAGAGGGTTAGTGTTGCCAGAATATTCTGTTCAAGGTCTCCAAGGTTTATCTTTTCTCTCCAAATGCTGATTTCTTAGCTACCACTATTTTTTTTTTTGGCCTGGACATTTCACTATGCTGTTTCTGTCTGTAGCTTAGAAAAATCCAGAAGTACAGCACAGGAGAGTGATGATGAGTCTATGACACATGTCAAGGGTGACACACCAGTTTTACCAACACCCAACAACTCTTCTCAAAAGCAGCCCCATTCTCCCACGCAATTGTTTTGACTGAGGCTTCCCAAGAGCATGAAACAAACTTCTTGTTCCGGCAAAAAACCCTTTTATTAATTTACAGTGAAGTCTTTCAAAGGGGGATTTACAGTCACAGACCTTATCTGGCTTGGAGAGCTGCCAGGCCGATATCTGCAGAACTTGGCAAGGAGTCTTGGAGTCACTAACCGATTAAGCAAACTAATTGTCTCCTGCCAACTCCACTCCCCTTTTGCTCCTCTTTTATTTCCTCTGGGACGGGCCATTCATTGTCTGGCCTTACTCCCAAGTTGACCCCTGTTCTTTAGCTGTTCCCTTCGTCTGGCAACTCTGCGCATGCTCATACTGGGAACAGGCTCCAGCTGTCCATCTGCCTCACTGATGTCTGACTCTGAAGGAAGCTGATAACTGGCATCTGGCCCTGGCCCCCTCTCTGCCCCTGACACAGAGCCCTCGTCACAGCCTTCCCCAGACTCCAGGGCTGGCCCAGGTTCCTCCCCATCCTCCTCACTGTCCGAATCTGCTGCTAGCTCCACTGGCCGCTGGAAGGCCACAACAGCAGTCTCCAGACTCTTTGAAAATGAGTTTTACTTCTATTTTTATTTTACTTCTA